TACGTATAATGAACACGCAAAATTTAGCAATTCAATTGAACCTCCTATAATGTCGCCGCATGCATTTTTGTGCCGTGTGCGAAAGTTTCACATTTGATTGCGAAAAAAAAATTAACTTGGAAATGAGATTGCGTCTTGTTGCAATCCATGGTACCATAAAGTTAAAAAGGATGCATATTCGGTTTTTGGATGAAGTTGTGCGAGATTGAAGTAGGTCTGTCAATTTATTTCAAATTCAAAAGAATTAAAAAATGTCAAACTTTAGTATTTCCACTGGGTAAAGATGACTACAATCGAAATATTCAGTTGTATGAACTAACGTCGAAAAAAAATTGAACAACAATGTCCCAACATTTGATGACAAACGCACTTCTCTCAAAACAGCTTTTCCTTCTTATTGTGCAGTTATCAAATGTAAGTGCAAATATTTTCATGATTATGTATGTATGTATATGCGATGACCTATTAACAAGGGGGTAATTTTCTTTTACATTAAAATTTTGGAAACTTAATTTCTTTACATTCAAAAACTTCGTTGTGTAGAGATCATTGATAGTAATGATAAACAGGCATTTTTATGTATTTAAAGTCACCAGTAAACATGGAAAGGAGCTGTCTCTTCATCTTTTTTCTTTCAATAATTAATTATCCTGCGAAAAACGCTGAATTTGACGAAAACTTGGCAGAACCTGGCGAGAAATTTGATGAGAATTTGGGGGAAACTGAGGGACTTGCAGAAAACTTAAGAAAAACTTGAGCGCGATTTATGGGAAAATCGTGAGAAGTTTAGTGAGAGTATGAAAACTTGAGGCAATGAAAACAACTTCGGAGAAATTTAAGGAAACGAAAAGAGAAACTGGAGAGGAATAATTAATTTCAGGGGTAGTAATGAAGGAGTTCGATAGGATCCTTTTTATGTGAAGAAGCGAAGGACTTGAGGGCAGTTCGAAAACCTAAAAAAAATTATGGACAACGTTAGGAGTTGAGAGGTACATAAACTTGAAAGAAATGTAATGGTCCTTGCAAATACACAGAGTGAACAAGATTGTATAATATTCACCTAAAAAGACTACCTTTCCGATTTAAAAGGAAATTCGACTATAGCAATTCTAAATCCCAAAAGCTAATTTTAATAAAAAAATCCATGTGAGGCTTAAAGAAAATTTACGGGAATTGAAAACACCTCCTCAACATATGATCTTTCAATTTTTTTATAATACTCTTAGACTCTTGAAGCTTTTTGATTTTTTAGTTCTTTCGAAATCTTCCAGTTTTTCAGATCCTTATGATTCTACGTATTCTTCTGCTTTTTCGAACTTTTCAGAGATTCTACTTGCATTTTTCGTATTATGTTTCGAGTTTTTTCGCGCACGCACCTAATTCTCCAGATCCTTCGAATATTTGGGACTCTTTCATTTTACAATTCTCAGATTCATTAAATCCTTCGGTTCATTCGTATTCTTCTCGTACTGTGTAAATTGTTGAAATTCTTTAAAACCTTAACAACATTTGAATTTTCAGCTTTCATCATTTTTTTTCTTAAATTTTCTCCTTGAATTCATATTTACCTATTAGATATCTTTAGATTCCTCGGATTGTATAGATCTTATCATTTTATACAGTCTGCTATCTTATTTCGCTCACTGTGACACGAGTCATCTTATTTTAAAGTAGTGACACAAACATCTATGTATGTCCCATTAAAGATAGAGAAATATCGAAAAGTTTGGGTGATCGATTGTGACGATATGGAAAATTTATCCTTACAGATTTTTGATACAACAAATGGCATAAAAACATCAACATCAATTCAGAAATGCACTTAAGTTGGTACTTCAATAGCTAGAAATTAGGTCATTGAACCTTAGAGTATCAAACTGAGCTTTTATTGTCAGTAACTGGCTTATGCTTTATTACTTGCTTTTGAACCGCTGCGAAACAACTATCGCAAAGTGCCTTCCTCGTTCTCAATAGGGATAATCACCAGGATTCCGAACATAAATTTAAGGAAGCGTTTTATGCTGTAATGGATTAATGTCAATGAAACTCTCGAAACTGATTTGTGCAAAGGATCGTTAAGTATTCCCTATCAGAAAAACAAATTTATTTCGGCTAGCGCTAGCAACACTTCATTAATTATGTATACAGTTTAGGCAAATTTATTCTTGTATTTTTTTAGCTTGAAATATATCTGTACCTAGAAAAATACTGCGTTTAACAATACTACCACAGAAGCTATTGTGTATGTGTACTAAGGGAAATATGGAAGTAATTTTAATTTTATATGTAAGTATAAGAATTAATAAACAGTTCTACCAAAACTTTTAGAAAGGTCCATCATTTTTAAATATTTCGTATAATTACTAATAGTATTTTCTAGCATACTTGTATGTTTAGAGATGCAAAGAGTCAAGATATTCTTAAGTTGTTTTACGATCTAAAATCATTAATGCACATGAGAAGATTAGTGGGCAGGTTTTTAAGGACATTTCTTATATTTCGCAGAAGCATTTTAAGCATTCTAGAAAAGTAATGTTCCTAAATCGATTTTTTTTAACATCAGCCACCTTGGCTACCACGACGGTTCCTAACTTTTAAGAAAATGCCGACAAGACATCTCTGGAAGGCTACAAAGACGCCTGTCAAGGAGGCGTCTAAGAAGTTCCTTAAAATATACCTATAGACAAATATTCGTAAATGGCAAATTGTTTACTAAACATATTCTAAACGGTTTCTAGAAGGAAAAGAAGCAGATTCCTGAACATCTTTCTACTTCTACGAAAGTTTGAATAGAGGTTTCTAAAATTATTAATTTGCCAAAAAAATCCGTTACCCGCATTATGAGAAGCACTTTCAATAAGAATAGCGCTATGAATTGTTTTGACAAAGATTTATTTATGCTAAAAATATCAATCAAACCATAGATATATTTGCAATAACATAAAACACGTTTATCCATAAAAAATTATTCGCTAACCTCTCTCAATTTTCCGTTACCATTTTCTCCTCTCGACGGTTACTATTTAAATTTTGAGTGAGACTTTTAAAAATATTTTCAAGTTTTGTCATTTTTATATTATTGGTAAAATTGTTGGGAAGGGACCTCGCTAGGATTCCTATAATAAGTTGTACCCAACGCTTATATCCATGAAGCGTAATTTCACAATTACTTTACACGGCGCTCAAATATAATAATAGAAACTAACATTAGGGATACACTGGTGCTGTAGAAATGAAAAATAAACCTCTCTTGCGGTCTTGATTATGAACCAGAAACATAGTTGCCGCTGCCTTTGTTTATCGATTTTATGAAGATGCTTTCATTAATTTGAATATTAAAGGAACATGAGGCGTACATCCGTTACGCTTCTTTATCAGGAATATGAAATAGTATTGTTTCTTGCGAACTTTACGATAATGTTTTTCTTTTTGTCCTATTTTTTAACAGTGAAACTTTTCAGGATGTGCGGTTTGAACAAACATTGTTCGTAACAATACAATATAGGCAATATACGATTTGAACGGGATTTCGTGAAAGAAATACGTTTTGTAGCAAAAGCTTTTTTTCTGTGACGGGAAAAACGTTTGACATTTTATCTCTGTTGACAGATAACAAAATGTCACTTTTTATGAAATTACTTTTTTCCAATTTTTAAATCAAATGACAAAACTGAATTGACAGATATTTGAGTAAAGGTTTCCTTAGCAACGCAGTTCGTATATTGTCGCGAGAAGTACAACCTGGAAACCTGGAAATGTAAAAATTTATTTTTTTTTACAGGACAGAGAAAATACAGAGGATTATTTTGTTTCTCTCCGAGATTTTTTCATTAAAAATTCGTTCTATTTTTGAGTGCTTGTTTCGCCACTTATCAGTCATTGTAGTAAACTGAAAACAATTTCTAGCACCTTCTTTAGGCGATATTTATATAAAAACCTTCCATTTTCTCTGCAAGTATCGTATTCTGACACTTCCTTCGAGAGGACTACATGAAGTTTGGACACCACCAATATATATCTCTCCGGAGAGTATCATTTTTCCTATCTGAGTATTCTTTTTCGATACCCCGTTCTCGAAGTATAAGGTGTTATAGGCGATCTCGCTAGGGGATTAAGGAAGGAGATCCAGCATTTAATCCTCCCCTACTCCTACCCCGTATGCTATCCAACATCGTATAGTCTGAATTTCAAAAATGGAAAATCTATCCTGTAGAATAATTCAACAAAAAACCGTTTTACGAGGAAGATTTACGTAAGCGCATACATTCAGGTAATCCATGTTTAAGAACTTAAAACCTTCCCCATAAAATTTAAGTTCTTAAACATGGATTATCATTGCATCACATTTCGAGTTAAAGAAGGAAAAATTTCCACAATTCCACTTTTTGTTATCAGGAGTTTCAACGTAGGTATCTAAAACAAAATCAATGGAAAAATAACATATTGAAATTAAAATAAAACTGCTTTGACATTTTACGTATGCTTTAAATAAACACTGAAGCTTGAGTACCTTATGATCGGAGTTTCGAAAATGGAAGTGCAGTTAGAAGAACATCGATTTTGTACAGTTTTTGCAAATGTTTCTGTTTCAGTAGAGTAGTGAAAATGTACGAAAATCAGAGATTTTGTATTCAGAAAAGCAACGTCAATGGCAAATCGTGCTTGTGTGTAAAATTCCTCTATGAAAATCTGCAAGTTTAAGTTTGAAGAGACGAGCCCGTTGATTGCTTAGAGAATATTATTAAAGACATCCAGCCTCAAGCGTCGTGAGTCCTAAGTAGAAAATTATGTTTCCGATATCTACACAGAACGAACATGTTTATTTACAGTCATATAACATTCGAGATTAAATCATACTTTATGTACGAAGTTTAAAGTGCAAGAAGGAAGCGGAGAATCTGTCTGTCAAAAAGAAACGGAGAATACTGCACTGCACGTAGTAATTTCTGACTTTATTACCATTTTATTGCGGGCGTAATGCTACAAAATTCCTTACAATATACATATTACTTTTTATTTTAACCTCAATGTTTCAAAGCTTAAAGTAGACATTTCTTAAGGGTTGAATACAAAAAAAAATGCGAGAGTGCCTTTTTAAGGTGCGGCAATATCTGTTGACAGATTTCGTGGTCACGTGCGTGTGTAGAAAAGTCCTGTGACAATGTACCTGCAAAAGCTTTCAAATATTACGCTAGAGGTGTCTTGCAAGAATCTGATTAGCGGGCGTTAAAAGTTCCACTGAAACAAAGTTTAGATTAGTTTCGCCTGCTTGCTGGGGTTTTGTGTATAGGAGAGCTTAAAGTATAAACTTCGATCATTAATATTGTGTATAGTTATGAAGGTGCTATAGGTTTAGGTAATAACTTTGATACAAAACCGGGCGCTTTGGAGAATTGTAATTTTATTGGTTTGTACTGTCCGTCAAGCTGTTATGATTTTTATTGCATTCTCATCCAACATTCCGGACGTCACAACAGAACACTACAATGCCTTGAGGTTACTTTTGAAAATGTGAATTTATCATGTTAAATTGTTAAGCTTTGGTGGTTTTGATCCAGACAGTTATCACTTATCATTTATCAAACGTTTAGTGGTTTTCAACATTATTACTCATCTGACCAGGTTCCACAGGAACAACCCCTTCACATGGAATTGCGATTCATAAACGGTTGACGAGCTAAATTATGGGAAATTGATATTTAAATCTACAATCTTCCATTTTCTATGAATTTTCCTAACCTTTGCAGGGGAAATTACTGCTACCGTTTTATCGCTATCTACCTATTCCATTTTGTTGGAGCGGCGGCAGCAATACTATATACTTTCCCACCATCCACAAGGTTTTTAAGACATTATTTTTAGATTGATAGGTGTACACTTTGACTGAAATATCCGTATCTTATACCTATCAAATCAAATGAAAGTCTCGGCTGATATTTTCATGCTAAAAATTACAAGAGGGATCGACGTAAAAGTGTCGTACAATGTTCTCCCAATAGTATTTCCCTCATTTATGCCTTAAAATGAAGATTTGTGAAGATAACGAAATCATTTGATTTAACTGATTGCATATAAATGGGTGCGAAATATTGCCCCAAATTTGACTATATAAAGATACAAACACTAGTGCCAAAAACGCCGCGATAGAGTACAGACAAATGCAGCAAAGTTTTCAGTTTGTTAAAAGGATTTTCTAACGGTAATTACCCATCGTTGTGAATAGTGCACAGAAAATAGTTTTCTTAGTTGCGATTTATTTCAATTGTTCAATATTAGGAAAATTACTATTAGTTCTCGATTCTTCAATTTGTTCCAATTCTTTGGCGTAAAGCACGTGAAGCTTAGAATCTTTTAAATTTTTATTTAAACTTTGGAGTCTGTCAATGCAATGTAACATTGTAATGGAATAAGAATATTAAATTATTGATGTGCGCATGACGTTAAAAATGATTTGACTGATTTAAAGTGTTGCGGGCGCGTGAGTATTAATCAATATGTAGTAAAATGAAGCTTTTGTTATCTTCACGAGTGGTTCTTTTCCCAAATCTCCTCTCCACTAGAGAACATTATAACATATTACCACACACATATTGTTTGTGATATTACGGATAGCTTTCTTTGATAGTGGTGTAAACGAAAAAATTTTGTACGCGTTTATTTGATTGTCATGACACGATCATGACTTCTGCCTGTAGTCTACAAGTTGCACTGAAAAAGAGCACCGTCTAAAATAATCAGTATTGCACGTATAGCTGCTTAATAGATGCAAATCTCACTCGTAAATGTTTAGAAATTGGCTCAAATATAAGGTAATGTTTCCTAAAGTTTACCGTAACCATAGAGGTATTTCCTCTATGCCGTAACACAATTGAAAGTCATAAATGAGAAGCAGGAGACAAAGTAAACGAAAAAATTTTGTACGCGTTTATTTGATTGTCATGACACGATCATGACTTCTGCCTGTAGTCTACAAGTTGCACTGAAAAAGAGCACCGTCTAAAATAATCAGTATTGCACGTATAGCTGCTTAATAGATGCAAATCTCACTCGTAAATGTTTAGAAATTGGCTCAAATATAAGGTAATGTTTCCTAAAGTTTACCGTAACCATAGAGGTATTTCCTCTATGCCGTAACACAATTGAAAGTCATAAATGAGAAGCAGGAGACAAACAAATCCAAATGACAAAAATACTTCTGGGTTTAAGCTAATTAATTGAGTGTACTAGTACGAGTTTTTAAATTCACCTACTTCACAAAGACAATTGATAACGCATCGACTTTCCTCCAAAGGCGATACATATTAACATCATTTATAATTGTCGTAAATTTCTATCAGAATCGAAAATTGAATTACAGCAAAAGGAACTTAGAAAGCAACTCATATCCGTCTCGAGAATGATAAATCACCACTTAATCACTTTAGTGATGAAATGTAATGCATCTAAATACAAAGTTTCCTATCTCATTTTTGTTCACAGGCATCTGGAGTCACTTACATAACATTTTTAGCCAAAATTAATTACGTTGGCAACTATGATACAGCTTTTCTTGAGCATTGTAGGTAGGTATAGAAGGCAAAATGTTTTCGTGTAAAATAATTAATGCATTTTGACTCGAATTTTTTCTTCTTCTTGAAAAGCGGTTGATCTTCTCGATGCCGATGGTTCGAAACAAAAGTCGTCAACCCGTCGACATGGTGACTCGCTCCGAATTCTTGATTCACTTTCACTGGAAATTCGCCAACTTATTCGCTCGTTTGTTAAGACCATACTATTTTTCCGTCTTCCAAATGGAACCACCCGTATTGTTTCACACAAAACCTACAGTTGCAACCACGAGCTTTATGCTAACGATCCCGGTCTTTACAATGTACGTAAAGGCTTGATGTAGAGATTTTTGATTGAATTTTGTATCTTGAAGTATCCAACTTTTAAAAAACGCAAAATTTAAATTAGAAACGTTTTGTGCGGTGTTTTCCAATTAGGATTTTAACGTAAAATTTGCTCCTTTTAAGACCAGTTTGGAATCGCTTTTAGGTTTTATGTATTGTGTTGTCATACATCGATCTAATCAGGAAAAAGATGATAAAATTGACAGTAAGATATACAGAGTATTGGTGTCCTATTTAAAAAATACAAACTTCGAGTCTCAACCAAAGTAGGGCACACGGTACACCTATCACTTTCAATTTAAAATCGCTTTTTTCCGTTTGAATTGTCCGTACTGGAAAATTATAAACCTGAACACCATTACCGATTAGGGCTTGAACTTCGTTCGTCTCTTAACTTTCAGCTTCCATTTAAACCCCTTTAAATTTTTGAATCTAAACTTCTGGATCAAAATTTAGTAAAATCGGCGTCTCGAATTGTGCATACCGGAATTTACAAATTAGATGTTTGAACGCTGTTTTCTAGTTAGAGTTTGAAGAAATTTCCATTTGAACTTAGAACTCTGAACAATGAGTTTCCAATTAAAGTTTGGTCTTAACTTTGAGCTTGCCTGATTTCTATCTTACATTTTTGAATCTTAGCTTATTGGAAATCAAACTTTAACTTTTTTAACTTTCAATATGGAGTCTGTTTTTGTAGTTAATTGCAATTTGGAAATTATACCCCTGAACAGTAGCTTCTATTTATAGGATTTTAACGAGTTTCTTAAATGTTTGAATCGAACTTTATAGGTAACCTTTGGCTTCAAACTGGAATTGTTTTGTGCGGTTTGAATTGCGAATTCGCAAATTAGATCCACTGTTTTGTGTATTTAATTTTAAATTTAAAACGTGCTGGTAGAAACCTGAACCTTTACTTTGGAATTACGCCTTATAATTCGTATGATTTACGCTGTCAGACATTGTTTGCTAATAACTTGAATAACGTACGTTAATTATGAGCAATCAACCATCAATAAGAGACAAATGGTAAATCAAAAAATGTAGTTACAAACCTACGCTAATTTTTTCGGCTGGTGGTTGGAACTTGATACAAATAAGAAATTAGATGATTTTACACTATTATTTTCCTATATCTAGTCATGGGGAAAAATAACACCTTTGTCTTTTACGGATATGAATGTGCCGCATGTGGAGCATGACATTACCATCATGAAAAGTGTAGAGCCGCTATAGACCGCTTTTACACGAAATAATGGTGTTGCAAGCGCAAAAGATGCCATGTAAATACATATTTAAAGCATGAACTTGGGTGTTAGTGTTCACAATTGTACAGTTTCCACCACTAGTGCAATTCTTTGCTGAAGCCTTTAGAATATTTAGCGCTCTGTGTACCAATATATAACTTTTCGTACCTTATGAATAGGTGAAAGGAGTGTCGCACCTTTCGTATCTCCTTTCGTGTCCTTTACTCGTAATGTACAAAAGTACTCTACAATCTCTACGTAAATCCGCACCGCGCAACTAAGCATTCGATATTCAACTCATCCAAAAAGCTGCAAGAGACCATTAAGTTGAAAGCGATGAATTTCCACTCCAAACTTTCAGCAACATTTTGCTATAATTGTCACGAATGCCACTAACGGGAACATGCTTTTTTAATGGTATCGAATTGATGTTGTTTTTCTTTCTGACAAGTTGCCAAACTTGTTAGAAAAGCATTGGGGCACATGGTTCGATGAACGAATGAACGTAACGACGTACAACATTGAGATTTGTGATTTTATATAATTAATTACAAAACTAATTATATCCTTTGTGTAATTTACCCGAAGCAAACGGTTTTGGAATATAGAATTCGCTTTAGTATCCACTTTATTTACAAATTACGACACAGGGTGTATAAAGTAGAATATATAATTTGGGGATATTACTAAAAAAAAAATGGGGAAATGGTGTAGTCTAGAAATCGGTGTTCCGTATAATGTCAAGAACAAAATTTTGTAGCGAATATTCGTCCCAGATAAACCGTTCGTTACTGCATTGGAAAGAATACAATTACTTGGAACTATAAAAGAAGAAGTTGTAGTAAATTTTGGATACTTTAAGCTTTAAAGATTGGGTTGTACAATGGACCAAAAATCCACTGTCCAACTAAATGAATGATTCTAAATATTTAGCTTGGTAGCTACGAATAGAAAAAATTCTATCTATCTATCTAATAATATTAAAAAAGTTTGTAATTCAAGAAAAGAATTCAAAATTCAAAATCTATCGTTCAAAAATAGTTTACTTCCCTAAAAATAACACAACAAAATTATAATAATTGGAAAAGACCCAATGGATGTA